GTGAGTTGTTTTTTGCTTGGCCTGTACACAGATGCAGATTTATCTCCAATGGCACTATTCTGTGCAGTACATATCATCATGAATCCTTTACTTAGATCATAAATGTCACCATGTTCTCCATTCAGACCAAACCAGAATCTTGTTGGACACTGGGGTGTGTTCATATCAGGGAAGAAGTCTTCTTCCATTCAGGACTCTCCAGGGAAAAAGATTAAACAATTCCCCAAATACAAAAGGCAAACATTAATTAACATTGTGATCTGAAAATATATGAAACAGATGCTTTTCCTGCACAAAGAAAGCCAGATTCCTTGGAATTAAAACCAAGTCAAGTAGTCAAGTAGTAAGTAGTGAATCTAACGCCTTTAAAGTATTAAATGCTATTATGCACAAGCTAGTTCAAAAACTTGTGATGTCTTCTGTTCGCTGGCATTCAAAATTTATGAGATGAGCAACTGTTCTGTGGCTTTCTCATAAACTGTTTATAAATTGATTACTTGGACTTTACACAGTATTATTTGAACTTCATGATAGATCACTGAAATTTCTGCTTTATAACATAAACCAAGTAATGAACAGCAAACAGCTTATGGAAAATGAAAATTTGAAACTAGAACAAGCTAATAAGTTAAATATTTAGAATTTTAAAGAATCTGATTATCATCTGAATATTCATGACTGCTCTGTTCCAGCAAATACTTACTTGCATGCATATTAATAGATATAATTGCTTTTATTATTTGATAAATTTAACTTTAATGGCTAGATTACAATATCTTTCTTTATCTCCTATATCATCTGATCTCGCATTTTTTCAGTTGCACTTGCACTACCTTCTATAGTCACATGTAAAACTGTATGTATCAATATTTCTCTTCTGCCATATTTCCTTTCTAACCTTCCTTTGCTTAAGGAGATGCTTTTTTTCTTCTTCTCTGCAGTCTTAAAGACATAGACATCTTCCTTTCAATTTTTTGCTTTCCAAGGATTGAAATTCCCAATTTCTTTGTTCAGACTGAGTATAGAAGGAAACTGCTTTTAGCTTACTCAGCAATTTTCTCTTCAATAAGATGACTGTTTAGATGTTGACCTTAATATCTTTGTTTTATGGATGTCATTTCTTCTTAAACAAAGAGCTGTTGGTTAAAGAAAGAAAAAATATTAGGTAATGTCATGTAGTGAAACCTTTAAAATACATGAGTGTATATATATCACATGTTAATTTGAACAAGTGATAGCAAAAAGATTAATAAGCTCCATCCCTATAGGAGCCCAAGACATGAATTTTTAAGCTAATAGCTTTCAGACAGGACAAGAACCTTTTTTCTATTGCAAAAATAATGAATGTTGTAAACTTCAGGAAAGGGTATGGCTGTGACTTCCTATGTACAGGCCTAAGAGCGTCCAAATAAAATACACAGGATTGTTTCTTCCTGTGGCTAGCTAATATTTTGGTTCACAAAAAGACAAAAGTAAACTTTTCTATGTTTCCTTCTTTTTGGGCAGACCCATCCTATTTTTCAGTATGAAAAGACTTCTTAATTCCTGGCGGTAAATAATTTGGTCAATTGTTTCAGAATTGTCTATCTACTTCAATATGGCATAAGGAAAGACTAAAATGCAAACTATAACATAGTGGACTCTTATTATCAACAACATTGAAGGATTGCTGAAACAGGATCAGTCCCATTTTGTGATCAGATAATGTACAAGTACAGATGATAGTAAAAGGTCATAAAATCTTAGAAAATTTGGGCACTTAGAAAGAAAGTTAGATTTGGAAAGCCCTGGGAAAAGTAGGCCTTGGGAAATGTTAGGCCTTGTACTTGCTAAAGATCATGTCATACTGCACCAGTGTAGTCAGTATATGGTAAATGATACAATTGTTAGATGTGATTAGATATAATTATTGTTTAAAGAACACGAGGAACAATGTTAGGGGGCTAGGGATCACGAGAAATCCATGCTTGGGCAAAAGCAATGTATACAATAGAACAGTGTAAGTTTAATAATTAATATGTAAGTTGTATAACAATAGAATATAAAACATGTTCAACTCAAAACAAAATCAGGTCAGATTTGGGTATGTGTACCCCTGACACCCAGAGCTCTTCAATAAAGCACCTTCATATAATCATTCATGATTATGTGTGTTCCTGCACGCTAACACAGAGTACTGTCTCCCACTTTTCTAGAAAAAAACATCAGCTTTTGTTATGTTTTGTGAGGTTTTTTTTAAGTGTTCAGCACTTCCTGTCTGCTAAATTTTTCAATATGTTCTCGAACCAGTGGTGCTGGGATAACAGCTCTGAGGAGGTGGTCCCATGGGATGGATGCAAGTACAAGGATGCAGTATTTCTCCTTGGATTGTGAATATGTGACAGGAGTAGATTTCATTAGAAAGGACTGGTGTACTTATTTTCCATTTCAGTTACATCTGGGCAGCAAGTTAGGTGGGAAGATATGACTTTATTCAAATGCAAAGTTTAGTATATGAACCATAATCACATCCTGGAAATAAAAGGGAAGAAAATTCTAAGTCACCTGACAAAATGGAGGAGGCTTGAAGGACAATTTCAGCATTATGGTTTCTTATCAGCCTTGCTGGGTCTTCCTAGCCTTGTGAGTTAGTTACTGAGAAAAGGACAAAAGCCCCTAGCAATGAAGTTGGTGTATTCTTTACATACATTGATGAGTAGCTCAGTTTTTCACTGTCTGAAGTATTTAACTCTGAATTGTCATTGGGATCCCAGCACAGTGTCACATGAAATGAGATGACCGCCTTGCAGACCAAACAAAGTATTTGGTATTGGTAATCTGAGGGAAGCACAGAGTTCCAACAACATGAACATAAAAATGTTATGGTGTCTTTTCCCACATTTGGCTATCAGTATTGTCCATGTGATTGCAACTTCCATTTGGTGTGATGACCTAGCCAAATAAAGAGGACAAAATTTAATATACAATTTTTCAGTGATTTTTTCTTCTGTCATCTTGTGTTACCCAAATCAAGTAGAAAGCTTCATTTCATAGACCATGGCCTTTGATGACATTGAAGTTTTTAAAAAGCTAGTCTTAAACAGGTAAGGAATTAATCAGTAATGTTTATAATAACAATCTAATCTTCAAATTCAATTGTTGTTTCATTGATTTAATGAAATATTCTGAAACAATTGGTAATCTTTCACATTCTCCTGGATTAGAGGCTTGGTTTCAGTGTTTCAGGCCAATCATAAATTTTTCTGAAGAAAAAAAAGCCAAACCCAACAAAAACAAACAGACAAAACACTCTAAACTCCCATATTAAATATCTCTGGAGAAGATGGAAGAGAAAACAACATATTAAAAAAACCCCAAACTAATCCACACATTCATTATGGAGGCATGTCTTTTTATGAAGAGATGCTCTAATCTCATTAAATGTTACTCAGTGATCCCAAGATCAAAATTCACTTAAAAAAACTGTCAAGAGGCTATTTCAAGGGATTTTAGCAGGAATTCATAAGAGGGAGACAAAAGTGGTGAGGACCTAAAAATTTATTTTGCATTTAGTTCTTCTTTCTCAGAGGAATAGAGTCAGACTTGCACAGAATGAGCAATATGCTGATTAACGTAAGAAATGGCTCCTTTACCAAGACCATTAATTTCTGAATAAGTGTTAGGAACTACCCCTTGCCTTAGAAGACAACTCTTCAATGTCCTGTTTTCTAAACCTAGGATACTTCTGCTCGATGGTAAAAGGATTGTTTCAGGCTATCTCAACTACAAAAGGCTTTTTAATCCAGTGTTCTGAATACACTTACACATAGATTAAGTGATTACTGAAGAAGTTATTATTCCCCTCTTGCCTACTCTTTCCTGAATGAAGCACAAACCCACCAGTTAATCTCGTAGGAACCTTAAGAGGATCTTATCATAACACTATAAGGTGCTGCTGGTTTCACTTTTCACAGGCACAGAAGCCACCATAGGTGAAATGTCTTTTTCTTCCCAGTCAGCTTATTAGCATAAATAGCTGTCAAAAAATGCCTACAGACTTCTTTGCAATGGTGAACAATACTTCACAATTTTTTATTATATGGTATGAAATGGGTATGAATTTGGTTTAATGTTTTAATTTCTATTAATCACTCAAATCTAGTTTTAAGTCTTGTTTTGATCTTCTAGTAAAACATCTTCTCTCCTCCATCCCCTTCTAGACACAGAACTGTCACTTCTATCTTTTTATTATTCTCTAGTTTTCCAAGTACATTGAGTCTCTTCAAATATTTAAAAAAGCCAGACCACAAATATTTGTCACTTTCTGAAGAAAGTATTGCATTATGGGACAGAATACATCCAGACTGTTAATCTTTGATTTTATCTGATTTAACCAAAGTAATTTAAACCTACTAGGTAGCTAAGCCCCATAGGGACAATAGTTCATGGCCCCTGATGGGACAGAAGGGAGAATTGATTGGGTAAAAATGAGAAAACTTGTGAGTTGAAGAAAAAGCAGTTCCATAGACAAAGAAAAACTGTGCACACAGACAAAGCAAAACAAAGAATTCATTCACCACTTCCCATGGGCAGGGGGGTGTTCAACCAGGTCCAGAAAGCAGGACCCCATCATGTGTAACAGTTACCTGGGATGACAGGCACCATCGTTCCTAATGTCTCCTACCTTCTTACCCCATTTTTTATACTGAATATCCTGAATATCATGTCATATGGTATGGGCCATCCCTTTGGTCATTTGAACAATTCTGACTTCATCGCATAGCCTTAATTATTAAAAGATTTAGAGTAGTCTGAAAAAAAACAAAACAGCCACATCACATTAGTTTAATCTGAAATATTACTCTTTTCATTGGAGGTTCTGTAAGGATGAGATCCATCTAAACTAAACAAGATAGTGGATTTAGAGCAAATCATTGGGGTTTTATTTCAAACCAATAGAGAGACACACAGAGAGAGAGAGAGAGAGAGAGAGAGAGAGAGAGAGAGATAACTCCAAAAGAATGATCATCAAATCTGTTCCACTTGAGATGAATCATCTTCTGGAGGTGTTAGTTTTCTCTTGACTATCAGGGAGTCTTCCTAGTTTAAATTTTACCTGTCCAAGTTTCATTAGAAAAATTCCTTGCTTTTCTCAGCTACTGTGTCTTTCCAACATTTTCCAAAGATTAATCGCTGTTGTCTTCCTTTAATAGTTTTCAATTTCTTTCTTCTTCCCACTTGCTCTGTGAAACTGTGGAAATAGTATTTAATAATTTAAATACAATCTGTTAAGTACACAAAGTGGAAAAAAGATTGGCTGGTAAGTAAAAATGCTTGCTGTCTCAACTTTTGAATGGTTACTTTAACAACATAACATTTTTTTGGTGTTTTGCTTTTTTTTGGTATTTTTTCTTTCTTTTTTAAAATTCTAGTAAGAATGGCTTTACCACAAAGGCACTATATAGATAGGTTTTGGGGGGGTTTTTGCTATAGTGTTATTATTGCTATCTCTATAGCTAGATATTTTGAAGTCTGTGCAACTTAGTAGATGTTATATTCAACAATGAAAACTGATCATCAGCTACTGCGTAATTGACATATAAATGCTATAGAACTAATCGGCATAATTTAAGTATTATTTACATTAAATTGTCTGTACTGTAAACAGTCAACCTCTATAAAAAAAATCTTCTTTATTTCTACTAAAAAAAGGAAACATATCTTTCTTTTTAAAATAAAATAATGATAGAGATTGTGTGGGTTGAACACTTGAACTTTGTCTTTGCTCTAGTAACAGAAGAATATTGTATTAAAAAACAGTTTTTCAGTACATCACAAGACTGACTCAAAAAACAATTGTAATTCTAACAAAAAGATCTATTTAATGCAGAAATAATAGCAAAAAGAATTTGTACTTCAAATGGAAATATTTTAAGCTTCTTATAAAAAATGGAAAAAAAACTTTATTGGACAAAAAGCATACCAAAAAAATAACATATACAAATTATGACAGGAAAAGAGGGGATGAGCATAACCAGAACAGAAGAAGTTTCATATGAATATGAGGAAAAACTTCTTTATTTTGAGGAGGACAGAGCAGGAACAGGGTGCCCAGAGAGATGGTGGATCTTCCTTCTCTGGAGATATCCAAAACCCACCTGCACCAGAGCACTCTGTTCTAGGCAAATCTGCTTTAGTGAGTTGCTAAATTAGGTATCTTCAAACATGCCTTCCAACACCAACAATTATGTGAATTAAAAAGAAAAAATATTTTCTGTCTAAGAATTCAGAAAATGAGAATAGAAAGGAGCAAGCGACTGAGGAGGTGCAATGACATGACTGATACTATATAAATTGCATCAGATGCTTTTTATTTTATGACAGTATGAATTGATTAGATTTGCCTGAGGGGCCTGCAGTAAGTGCTGCTTAATAACACACTCAGGGTTCCTGGATTTATATACTGAAGATAAAAAAGAGTTTGGTTAAAAGAGATTAAAAAAACCCCACAAAATCCCACACTGTAGAACTTAATTCATTTTAGTTCAGACACAATGAATTCACAGCAGGGCAAGTACAGGGAAGGCCTATGTGATTCACCTGGGGAAGGTCAGCTCCTCATGTAAGAGTGCTCTATGACAGCTCAACTTGTTTAGCTTAGATGAATGAGGTTCAGGCAGACATGCTTTCTTTCCATATCAAAATGAAAATCAGGAAATAAGACGATCTTTTTCATCAGACTGACAAGTATCTGTAAGAACACATTCAGCTTGAAAATTAGTATGAGGCTTCCCAAAGAGATGTGTGAGTTTCTGGAAGAACTAATTACTTGCAGTACCCTTATACCAGAGATATAAGCATTATCAGTGTCTCCCACAACTGTCTGTTTTACTTTAAACAATTTTGGGGTAAAACAGAAATAGCCAGTGAGGAAGGGACTTAAAGACATTTCTTTCTCTGTGTCCTAGCCTTTGTGAAACAGCTTCTTGCTTCATAGCCCTAAAATGCCTGCAAAATTTAACCTTTTATAGTGAGCTCCTACATAACCAGAAAGATGAGTCCTCAAGCATTTATACCCAGATTATTAGACTTGATGTTTGGAACGACAGCTAGAGAGGTAGAAAGGAAGTTTTGAACCTACTAAAACAAAAATTAATGCTCTTCAGACCTGTACCTTGTGAGAACAATGATCCATTAAGCCCTCTTTACGTCCACTGTATGTAGTCTGAGATAACTAATGTTAATGGTCCTCTGCTAATGTTTCAGAAGGCTCTCTCTTCAAGAATCTGTCATCTTCAGCACACAATTTCTAACCTAATTTCCAAAGGACATCTTGAAGAAGCAGTGAAATTAATCTCAGCTGATTTTTCCAATTTTTTATGTTAGGCATTTATTACGAGACAACTACATGCAAAATAAAAACATAAAAACAAATAAATAATGAAAACTAAAACAAATAATAAAACCCCAAGCAAACAAAAACAAAACAAACAAACAAACAAACAAAACACACCAAAAAACCCACAAAAAACTCCCCCAAAACCCACAGACAAACAAAAAAATAAGCCTGTCTGATCCATTCCAGGGAGCATCAGAGACCAACCCTTTGCCTTGGGGGTGATACCTACCTGGCAATCAAAGATCCTTTACTTAAATTATCAGTATGTTTTCCATATTAGCTGTAGAAACCTAGTTATCTTCTGTGCATTAGCTAATAATAATTTTTAACTTTTAAGTTATGCCTACCATTCTTGCACATAAATTGCACGCAATAACACATACTGAAACAAAGTGACTCAGTGTGGAAGGAACACATCTAGAAAATCTAACTCCAGAGAGTGCTTGTACCCTGTTTCAGGAGTGGTTAAATTGCTCTCTGGAAGTAACTTCTTCCCTTGCTGGGCTTTAGATGGAGTCATCAGCATGTTTGGGTTTATTTTCTTTTTATCTTCTAGAGGCAAGTATGGGGTAGATACTGAATGGTAAACCTTTCAGAATCAGTTGAGCCTTAGTGATGAGGGGACAACTTTGACCCTCACAGAAATTTGCAGATTAAAAAGTGATCAAATTACACAATAGATGTCGTGGGTTTAAAGCAGTAACTAACAAAAAAATCACTAGAAAACTTATTTCTTGCTGTGAGATATGGATTAGAACAAGAGCAAAACAGGCTTAAAACTTAAAAGGAATAAAGAAAGTTTATTAACAAAACTACAAGAATAAGAAAACCAGAATAAAACTTCCAGAAAACCCTTTTCTCCCCCACTACCAAACTATATCCTTGTTCACATGACAACATAGAGACAAAAAAACTTTGGTGTTTACAACAGTCCAAATTCTTGCTACAGTCTTTTCATCAGTCTTTGCAGAGAAACAGAAGTCTTCTGCTAATCTATGGAGTTTCTCACAAGAAAACTATTTCTGTTATAGCTTTCTATTTCTCTGATGCCAGCTGCCTGGAAATCTGTCATCAGTTCACTCCTCCCATTTCACATCACTCTGAGGCGTGTTATGGGTCAAATGAGTCGAGGGATGTCATTTTTAAGGATGAGTTATTCAAAGGCAAAAGTTCTCTTCATCTGTCTCTGTGAGCTTCTCTGGAAACAGAAGTTTTCTCTTTGCCTCATAACGGCCCCAAATCTTCAACTATTACTTCTCTCCCTCTGTTCCAGCACCTCACTGTATCACAATTACTCCACTTTTTGCTCAAAATCCACACTTTGAACACTCCATTCCTCCAAATATACTCTGTCATGAATTAAAGGAGTTTTTTCAGAACACTATTGTCTATCTCCATAGCTTTAACAGAAAAACATTTCAGTTTATTAAAGCAGCTCCTTATTCTCTCTTCCCCATCTAAAACTTAACTCTTCACTGTGTTTGATGGTTTTATGATGTCTTCTTCATGTTGATTATCCCTCTCTCTCTCTCTTCTTTCTATCTCTCTGTGAAAAAGGAGTAATCTGTATGTCTCATCCAGGTAGTAAAAGAGTTAAAAGAGTCTTAGAAAAGCTGCTGTTGTTCATGGTGTCAGGTTTCAGTCCAGCAGCAGAAACTACAAACCAAGCCAGGCCGGCCTGCTCCTACAAACCAAGCCAGGCCGGCCTGCTCGGTTTCTCCCCACCGCTGCCCTCTGTGGCCTTGTCTGGCCTGGAGGGGGGGAGGAGGCCGAGACAGAGCCTTGTTACCTTGTCAGAAGCCAGAAACTAGAGAGAGAGAGAAATTCCCGGTCTTGAGTATTAAGGTAGGTATTCACAAGTTGATCTCACTTTTCAATGGTCAGAATCAGTCAGTTCTCAGAAATGGCTAGTAATTGGTCAGGAGAAAAAACTCCCATCAGCCTCTGGCAGCTTCAACTTCCCCCCAGCTCCCGAAGCTATCTTAAAGGTAGAGTCACCCCAGGACAATAGAGTATGTAGATTATATATTTACCAAACAAATGAACAAACATGTAAACAAAACCCCTAAATATATTTTCCCATGATAGAGTACAAAGAGAGAAGTCTTAATTCAATTGTCTGTACACAGGCATTTATTGCTATTTTACCCCAAGATATCAGAAGCAATCAAGCAGAGCTGATAAATTTGGTGCACATGATGACCTTATACTCCTACAGAGTAGCAGCTGGAAGCAAGGTTGAACACTGAAGGATGTCTCAAGCAGCACTTTGTGCAGGTGTGTAGGAAATGTCACACCAAAAATCTTGTCACAGGCAAGAGAAAAAAAAGCATTGAGAAGTTAAGGTAACGATTTATTCTTATTGTAATGAAAATCTTTGCAGTTTAGCTCAAAAAGTACTGTTCAAATATATTTGAAACAAAATGAGAAAAACTAAGAAAATAAGATAAAGTATACTGTCGCACAAAGCATTTCAATAATAATTAAAAAATAATGATAATGATAAAAACAACAACAACAACAATAATAATAACAACAACAACAGTATAATCCAATTAAAAAATGCTGCACACTTCCTTGCTACTGTTACTTTTCCTCTGATATTGTGCTCACACTTATGATAGATACCGTACATTTTCTGGGTACCAAGAGTGTGCAGGACTGATCACCATCACACAGGAAGAAGGAAATTCCAGCAAGCTGTAAGTGTCTTTTACAGGAAGAAGCGAGAGGTGTATGCTAAAGTTTTTTCTTCTCCCTCTAGGATTCAATTTGGACTATTTGTCCAACACACTTTTACACCTTGATATTTCTTTCAGGGATGCTGATCTGCATCTTCATGTTGCATCCAAATTTAGTGTACCAGATGGGTTTTACATATGCTGAATGCTTGTTATACTTTTAATTTGTTATCCCTATAACTGTTCCTGTCCAACTCCTATTGTGCATTTCTTTCACTGATGATTGGTGAGTTATTCATAGCCTTGCAATCATCAGTAACAAGCTGTGCCCCCCATCTCATCATCCCATGCGTGCTATGATCTCTTTCAAGACCCTTATTATCATGCCAAGTATTTATTTCTCTGTGCTACATCAATATATGAGGAAGTCATAAATACTCTGTTTTACACAGAATAACTTTCTGCTACTAATATTTACATAAAAATTACAATTTAAGTACATTAAAATACATAAAAAGAAGTTATTTCAGTTAAATCAGGTAACAGCAAAACTACAGAGAGGTTTAGAAAAGCTCAGGCAAAACCTAAGAAATTTCAAATAATTTCAATTTCTAAATTTCTTATAATTTCAAATCTGAGGCCTTTCAAACCTGATATTAAGCATATGGCTGGCAATTAGTAACGGAAATGTTAGAATTACTGGGTTTCTGGGCTCAAAAAATAATTAAGTCATAAAAAACTAAAAATGAGAAATGGGAAATAAGCCTCTGAATGACACTGATATTGATATTCATTTGCTTAACCCTTTACTGTTCAAGTGTCATGATCCTCTCTCCACTGAATATTTCTTTACTTTTTCGCCCTAGCTTTTCCTTTTTTCCATACTATTGTTTTTATTCACAGTTCAGTACATAGAAAGGATCTGTAAAGAGTGGAGAAAAAACCAAAACACTCAAGCGCAAGTCAAGAAATAACAATATGTACATAAATTAGAGGCAAACTGAGACTTCGATGTACAGAGGTTAAATATCAGTAAATTTCTATGGAATTGCCTATAGTCTGAAGTGTTCTACCAGACCTAAGACAATAAATTCTTTTAGAAAGGTCTTCCACATAAAATTTCCACAGTATTTTTCTTCCAAATATGATACAGAAAAAACTTAAGGGATATAAAGCAACTTGAGCTCTTATGTTGCTTAAATTCACTTGAAAGTCCCTATAATACCTAAAATCCAAATGAGAACAAACCAAACAAACAAAAAACCAAAGTAAACAAAATTAAGAGGACAAAATTATTGTTAATGCCAAAGCAGACCTGTATTTTTGTTTGCATATTTCTACAGAAATCTTAGTTGTAGAGTTTGTACTTTATCCTGTATTTAAAGTAAGAAAAAATAAAATAAAAATAGCAAAAGCCAATAAGCCAATCTGAAATGGAATGAGCAATGTTCCCCCTCAAAAGACATGGCAAAAAAGTCTTTAGGAGTGTATGTTTGTTAATTAACATAATTTCAAAAGTTTTAAATCCACAGTCTCAGATCATTCATATACAGTTTTGATGCCCTTAACCTTGGAGAGCAGCATTTGATTTACATCTAAATTTTTGCTAAACCCCATAATACAATACAAATGATATAATTATATTATAGCTACAATACAAAGGACATCTGATTTACACACTGTAAGTTCAGTAACATATATGGTGCTACAAAATCCTGATATAACAGATTTCTGTGATTTGTTCCTTGTCAGTGAGACTGCTAAGAGGAACTCATCAGGATTTCAATATTTCATGAGCAAGCTATGATTGTGTTTTCTTTACTGGGTAAACAATGAAGTTACTGAAACAATAATAGGCAATACAAAAAGAAGATGTAATATAGTGTGCTATTTCAGGAGATGTTTCACGCAGATATGTACTATTATATTTGAAACTTATGGATACATTAGAGAGATCTATTAAGATGATAGGGAGAAAAAATACTTTAAGATATGACATAAGACTAAAAGAATGTCTATACCAAACAGAAGACAGTGGTAAAGAAATGTCTGCCTTATGCAAAAGAGCCTTCTTGAAGACATTTTCTAAAATCTGAAAAGAGATTTGCTTTCTCAGACAGGCACTGTGCTTGTGGATGGGAGATTATTTTTATGAGGACATTAGTATTATCATACAAAGATGTGTATTTCACAGAATGTCACAATTAACTAGGCTGGAAAAGACCTTTGAGATCATCAAGTCCAGCTTATGACCTAACACCAACATGTCAATTAGATCATGGCACTGAGTGCCACATCTAGCCTTTTCTTAAACACCTCCAG